CATGGCACCCAGTGCACAGTAATCATGCAATAAATTAAGAAAGAGAAAAAAAAGTAGTTGGGAAAAAATGGCCTTGGTGATAGAAATGTAGCTAGAGATTGCATGATAGAACTTAGCAAGATCAACAACTTCTTCATCACAAATACCTTTTTTCAATGACATAAATGGCGACCATTCACACAGACTTCCAAAATGACTATATCTATAGGAAGATATGATAGAGAAGTTCAATGTCACCAGCCAAAACCAGGCCACGGGCTGGCTGTGCAACAGACCATTAATTGCTCATATGCAAGTTCAGGTTGAAGCTGAGGGAAATTAAAGCAAGCCCACAAGAATCAAATTATGACCTTGTGCATACCCCACCTGAATTTAGAGGACATCTCAAGAACAGGCTTGCTGCATGAGACTAATGACAAAAGATCTGATGAGCTGTGGGGCGACACCAAGACCATCATTCGTGAAGAAGCAAAGGGTCGTTATAAAGACAGGAAAGAGAGAAAAGATCACAGTGGATGTCAGAAGAGACTCTGAAACTTGCTTTTGAACATAACAAGCTATGGATAACCTTGAGAAAAATGGGAATTTCTGAACACTTCATTGTGCCCATGCAGAACGTATATATAGATCAAGAGGCAGCCATACCAACAGAACAAGGGACTACTGCATGGTTTAAAATGAGAAAAGGTGTGTGTCAGGGCTGTATCCTTTTACCGTATTTAATCCATCAGTCGACTGAGCAAATAATCTAAGAGGCTGGACTATATGAAGAAGAGCGTGCTCCTATGAGCATTGATTAAGCCAGAATCCTCCTTAGAAGTTGAGGATGAGACCTCCTTAGAGACTGCCTCGCATCCTTTGGCCATGTTGTCAGGAGAGACCAGTCTGGTGAAGGACAGCATGTCTGGTAATGTAGAAGGACAGCGACAAAGAAGCCCCTCAGTGAGGCCGATCAACACAGCGGCTCAAAGATCATGGCCTCAAATACAACGGTTGTGAGGTGAGCACAACACTGAGCAATGCTTATTGTACGCAGTGTTGCTATGAGTGGACACCTACTGACGCACCTAACACCAGCAGCCTGGGACACAGCAGAGTCACTGGGTGATGCAAACGGCTAAGTTCTCATCTACTAACCCAAAGGTCGGCCTTTTGCATCCATTGGAGGGAAGGCCTGTCAGTCCACTTCCAAAAAGTCACCCCATCGAGGCCTCTATAGGGCACCATTCTGGAGTCAGAAGTGAAAATATTGTGGGTTTTTTTACTAGGAAACGGCAGAACATAGTGGTTTTGAACACAGCTCTGGCGTCATACTGTCCAGATGTAGATCCCTCCTCTATCACTTCCTGGTTAGATGCTCAAACGCTAACAGAAAGGCCAGTAGTTCAAACCTCTAGCCACTCTGCAGGAGAAAGACGAGCTGTCGGCCTCTGTAAAGATTGCCGGGCTCCTCTGTCCTATAGGCTTGCTGTGAGTTGGGGTCAACTTGGTTTGGTGTTTGTTGTCTTGTTCCCATGACGTCCTAGTTGTGTGCCACTAGTCGATTTGACTGCTCTTCCACTTAATGTCTGCATCCGTAAGATGAGCACAATAAGGGTGACAGTGGCGTTCAAGTAAAGCAATGCGTCTAAAACACTCTTCGAGAAATGCTAACAAGAAAAAGCAGAAACACAGCCGCTGAGTGGAGGCGAACTCCTAGCAGTCATACAAGACGTAGGGTTTCTGAGACTATAAATCCATAGGAGCAGACAGCCTGATCTTTCTCCCATGGAACTGGCTGTTGGTGGGCTTGAACCACGGGCTGAGGTTATCTGCCCAGTACTTAAGCCAGTGTGCCACCAGGGTATTATTATTGACATTCAGAGTCTCTTGTTAGCTGGGGCCTGGGAACTGGGAGCGGACTCCGGATCCGCTCACCGGTCTCTCTCCATTAGCCTATAGAGTGGGATAATGCTTGGGGGCTTTGGAGATAACACATCTTGGCTGGAGGTGAGCATTGGCATTTCATGGCAAGTATCCTGAGGCAAGTTACCCAACCTCTCTCAGCTTCTAACCGTTTAGGGATCACCAGTCAAGT